GTTGCATGTTGCATGTTGCATGTTGCATGTTGCAAGTCGCGTTTTGTATGTTGCAAGTTGCAGTTTTATTATGAGCGTTTTGATTGGATTCGTTTTGTCTTCGTAGCTGTTCATCGTATGTTGGTAAAATTGGTGGCAGACAGACGATATCAGTGGGAGCCGACGACGGATCAATCACTTGCAAACATGGCAACATCGTGCATGAACTTGCGCATGCAATGGGATATTTTCACGAGCACAGCAGACCTGACAGAGATGATTATATCAAAGTCATATGGAACAACGTTATGGATGGTGAGTGTAAACCACAATATTAAGATTATACAACAATAACTCCCTGTTGTTTCAGAGTTTAAATATGTTAATGGTTTTAATCGTTTACGCTAGGTTACGAGAAGAATTTTCGCAAGGAGACCGTTTCAACAGTGGATTCTCGGGGCGTTCCATACGATTACGACTCAGTCATGCACTATGGGGCGTTTTTCTTTTCTAATAGTGAGGGAGACAAGACCATTGAAACAAAGAAAGAAGGCACATCGATTGGTCAACGTGTTGGGCTCAGTGACCTGGACGTAAAACAGGCTAGACTACTCTATAATTGTGATGGTAAGAATAAAGGCTAGAATGCTATAAAATTGTGACGGGTATATAGTATAAATATACGCAGAAATAAAAGCATGCAGAGATCAGAACAACAAAACAAGCAACTCCTGGATTCGAGGCTAAGCCTGCATGCACTGGAGTTTTAAAACTCATTAATTTTGAAGGGCGTCTTTGTATTCTTGCGTTATTAAAGAGGAGTTATTTTGACCGACACTAGAGAAAAGCGTTAATTCGCGTGCATTTCAGCACGTTTTCTAAGAATTTTAAAGAGTTTGAGTGAGAAAATATATGCTTATTTTCTCCAAGTATACAAAAAAGTTCAAGAGTATACTTTTGCAGATCAAGATACCGCACAGGAAATTTGAGAGGACCAATTAGGCCCCAGAGAGCCATTTGGCTTTTTCAAAGTAGTGCTATTTTAGCTCAGGCTGGAGCCAAAATAGAACAATGCCATTTTGGCCCCACAGAAGCTATATTGGTATGGGTCTATCAGTACTGTTTTGGCCCCCTCAACTAGGCCAAATCAGGGGGAAAATCCATATAAGGGGCTAAAACAGCCCTAAAATCAGAGCTTWAAAAATGGCCCCATTAGAGCCAAAATAGCCCTACTTTAATGAGGCCACTATAGGGTAAAATTTTGGCCCCATTTTTGGAGCCAAAATTGCCCTATCCCATTTACTGTGTGTATTAAGAAACACAATATGAAAGAATTGGCCTTAAGATTCAAGCATGGACACTAAGGTTTGGCATTTTGTGAAGTCCAATTTATCAGGCATGTTTGAAAGTCCAATTTACATAACTGACTAATTTGCGTACGAATTCAGAACATGCGCAGGCGTTTTTGACTCGTGTCATTTAACCAGGTGACTTCGATGAACCTCGCTCAAACACTCAGTACTACGACACAATGAAGAGAACACATGTCAAGAAAGACAAAGAGGAACAAAACCTCTCCAGCAAGAAATTCTCCACAAACAAGAAACATACTCACCAAGCTCATCTGAAGAACGCTGTAAAGCAATACGTTCAAAAGATGAACAGCAAAAACAAGAAGGTTTTTACCAGCAGAACAAAAACTACTGGTGTGAAGAAAAACAGCATGGAAGGATTTCCTGAGAATACGAGACTGCTAAATACCCAGCAAGCATTGCAGCCTCAAGATACCCAGCAAGCACTGCAATCCCAAAATACCCAACAGGCATTGCAACCCGTCGATACCCAGCAACCAACGGGACCTGAAAGTACGCAACAAACAACAGTTCCTGTAGTTACCAATCATGCATTGCAGCCGTTAAATACCCAGCAGGCTATGGGATCGGCAAATGCACAGCAAGGTGGCGCAAGTACTAAAGAGGGCGGAAATCCAGAAATAGTAGTTACAGATGATGAWCTAGGTAAGGAAATCTTTTTCAAAAAGCTCAACATCGAGCAGCAAAAAGATTGTATGATGTATAGTAGAACCTTGATTGAGAGCCCACATATCAAGTCGCCAACATCTTTTTAACGACCACTTAACAATTTGCACTGGTAATCTTTTACAGAAGTTTGGCCCCCTTCTCTTTCTTTCTTATCTAATTATTGAAGTCTATCACGGATAGAAAAGTGGTTAGAATAAGGGATTTATGTATTCTATACGCACGTTCAATACTCCCCTTCAGTTGAATATCAATACTAATGTCTTGTTTTGTGTTCATATATCAGCTGAGGAAAATTTAGGGATGGGCTACTTTGAGGGCGACATGATTTTGACAGATTATCAAAGACAGTACTTGGAAGGTCTAAAGGATGATAGTAACCAAGCAGCCAAACGAGCACTCATCAAGAACACTACCTTCTTATGGCCTGAACGAACTGTCTATTACACGTTTGATGATAGTGTTGGTATGTATGTCGATTCTAAGCACAGCAGATCAATTCTGGGGAGGCGGTCAATGAAGGATTGAAGAAGGGAGGGAGGGAAGGAGGCAGGGAGGGAGGGAAGGACGGAGGGAAGGAAGGGGAAGGGAGATTGTATGCATATTGAAGCAAAGGCCTGGAAGTATGGGTGTAATTTTTATAAATTTGGTAAATCTTGCTCAATATGTAGTAGCCCTCCTCTCCCTCCTCCTCAACCCCCCATCATCTCCACATCTTCTCCACATCATCTCCAGACTGCTACTCTGCTACTTTCCTGATAAGTGACTTTAATTATGGGGAACTGTGGATGTATTACTGCAAAGTATGACCTCTATAAGACTAAACCTGCATTATCTACATTCTATTTGTCCTATTTTTCTTTAGATGAAATCGGGAGAAAAAATGCTGAAAGTGCTATAAAACACTGGCAAGACAAGACGTGTTTGCAATTCAAGAAGAGAACAAACGAGAAGGATTACATCAATTTTGTTTTCGAAGGAGGGTGAGAAACAGTGTCAGTCATTCTACAGGCGTATAGTATAGACCTTTATTCGTTGTTAAACAATATTTTCCCATTACAGATCATGTGTCATTCTCTTGAGTTATATCCATATTCATGTGTTTTTTTCATACAAGAAATGATACTCTTTGTAAATTACACATGGTCTGTATTGGGAAAACATTGCACCAGGACGAACAAGGTCTACCAAAACTGATGATATGATGGACCTAATCCAATTTCCAATTTCATAATGTTTTGTCCATTTCAGACCACGTGTCATATCCTTGAGAATAAGATTCTTTGTTTGACTTGCACCCATATTCATGTGTCTTCTCATGCGCAACCGTTAAACAAAGAAACAATACTTTAGGGAGTGACACGTGAACTGAAATGGGAAAATAGTGGATTAGGTCTATTGCTCACTGTTCTAACACGCGCTTTTGTGTTTAGCTGCGCGTCACGTGTTGGTCGAGGCGGAGGGATGCAAAAGCTGACAATCGGATCAACAGAGTTAAGGTGTAAAAAAGGGAACATCATTCATGAAGTTGGGCACGCCCTAGGATTCTTCCACGAGCATAGTAGACCTGATAGAGATGAATACGTTGAGGTCATTGTAAAGAACATTATGCCAGGTACATAATCATGATGCATTCTGGTATAGCTTGGGTGTTGGTTGGCGTTGTTGTTATCAAAGCCAGTCCAGAATTCATTCAATAGACTTCTTTACCTTATCGTATGAAAATTGCCCATTTCAGACCACGTGACATTCCCCTGAGAATTATTCTTTTGCGATGAACATTTTAAGACACGTTATATATTAAAAAAATCAACTTCCAAGAGTGGCATCACTTGGTTTGAAATGTGACAACAAACAACGAAGGTAATGAGGTCTATATTCAGCGAACGGAGAAAAAAATTGCTATGGATGCCGTTTTAATTAGTTGCACTAACAACGGAAGTTATAACGATTTGTTTATTGCTTTTTTGTACCCAGGATACGAAAGAAATTTTCTTAAGTTTTCAACCAAATTCATCGACTCTAGGAACGTGCCTTACGACTATGGATCCATCATGCAGTACGGTCGTAATTTCTTTTCCAAGTTGTCGTTACTTTTGCCCACCATGCATACAAAGAAGAAAACTGCTGATGACAAGGACGTAGAAATAGGCCAAAGAATTGCGCTCAGTGACATGGATATCCTGCAGACTAACCTACTCTATCAGTGTGATGGTAAGGATAGCATTGTAACGCAGTAGGTTACACAGTCACGCAGTCACGCAGTCACGCAATAAACATGGCGGTGTTGACAAAACCCTGTAAATTTTTTCGAAATTCCTAAAAGTGAATATTTTTGAATAAAAACCAAATATTACGCACATCCGCGCCTGTAATTAATAGAAATGGCGTGGTTTTCATATTTTCTACCTGAACTGTTTTCCCGTGTTTGATATTGTGTACAACACTTCTCTCTTACGCTATTATTGATATGATTTTTCAGGACGTAAGCGTCTTACAGATGACCAGCGGGAAGAGCTTGAACAAGAATATTCAGATCCCATGACAGGTGTGATACAGTGTGAATAATATGATACTTACCTTCTTTCCAATAGAAGACTGATCGAGTAGCCCGAGTAAAGTAGTAATGGAGACTGATTAATTGTCACTCAATTACTCGGGCAACTTTATGATGACCATAATGCTCAGTTATCAATAATTGTTGGTCGTTTTAGGGCCGTGTGGAGATGCTTATGACTCAAACTCCTGCTTAGCCGTAAAGTCGTTCGGATATTGCCAAAAGTACCCACGTACCTTAAGACGTGCCTGCGGTCAAACCTGTCAGCTGTGTAGTAAGTATCCTAAATGTGCTTTTTGATTCGCTCGTTCAATTGCCATAACATTTTWAAAGATTAATTAAAACAAGCCTCGCAAGAATTTAACGGCTAAAAACGTTTTCTCTGAACCAAGTATTTTTTGCATGATTATAGTTTTTAATTTGGTAATGGGCTACCTGTGGTCGATTTTGCATGATTTAGCGTTCGACAGCATGATCATGTGACTTTTTTTCTGATTTAAGGCACGCTACCATACCAGGGTAGAAAGAACATTATATCTAGACTGAGGCTAGACGAGCTTAGCAAAAGGAAGACCAATAATAAGAAGAGGAATAAAATGCATGGCGGAAAGCATTAGACAGACATGAATGGTAACAAAGATTATACATTGAATGACTTTTGTGATATACACATGTAATGTACTTACATACATAACAAAAGAACTCATCATCGCATCTTTGATGCTTAATATTGTTATTATGTTATGATCATCATGTATCGTCATCATGTATCATCATCATCATCATCCGTATCAGCATGTATCATTCATCATTATGTATCATCATCATGTATCATCATCATGTATCATCTGTATCGCCATCATGTATCATCATGTAAAATCATCATTTACCATCATCATCATCATCATCATCCCCATCATCAACATCATCCTCCTCCTCCTCCTCCTCATCATCATCATTACCATCATCACCATGATTAATCACCATCCTCATCATGAATCATCATCATCACGATACATCATCATTACCATCTATCATGCATGCATCATCATTATCATCATCAACTCTTGTGCATTAATAAATGTTATAATAGTAATAAGCGTGCATGAAATCATAAACATTTTTTTTGCCGTATAACCTACTTATTTTTTGAATTGACATCATCATTTTTCAAGCACTGAGCTTTTTTCTAGTTTTACATATAGTTTACTGACTAGTTTGTATACTAGTTACTGGTTTGATATTAAAACATTACTTTGTTCTATTTCAGATGCTGTGTATCGCTCAAATTCAACCACGTTACCTTAGTATTACACAAAAACAAATCAAAAGCATTATTCTGCACATGGCGCTTACTATATTATTCCTTATTACTCTACAGTCCAAAAATAATGCCTCTGGTATATTCACTCCGATAATAATGCACCCATAGTCATCTATGGAAACATATTTCAAACTTAAAATTCGAATTCGTATGCATTCTTGACACGTTTGTGACGTCATCGTCGCCATGTTGAATGATTTTTACAAAAGGTATCCTCCAACATGGTGGGCATGTTTTCACACATTCTCTTGAGATAAGTTGCATCTCGTAAATTTGTTTAAATCACTAACTGATAAAGTGTCATTCGCCATGTTGGATGATTTTTCACAAAAGATGTCCTCCAACATGGTGGCCATGTCATCGTTCATTCTCTTCTGATAACACAGACTTGCCTAATTTTGGGCAAGAAAACAAGTATAATTCTCACTTTCTTCTCGAAAGATAGTGTCGTTAGAACGTTATGCTGGCATAACAAGCAAAAATTTTCAATGCTTTTMAGCCTGTTTCCGGTTCCGTCAACTCCAAACTTCTGTTTTAACTTCCGGTAAATAGAACAGGGAACCCACACTAAATAATTTTGGTTTGAAGGGTTTCATTACTCTTTCAATTTTTATCAGATATTTGACATTTTATATCTTAGTAGCAGTATTACTGACCTGATATCATACTAGTACAATATTGAGCTTTACTGTGTATATGTTCTATAAAAACTTTGTCATGTACTGTACCCTGTATGTTGTTTACTATAATTTGTTTGTAGGATTTATTTGCTTATTGAATCGAACAGATCTGAAACTAAAATTTGTGCCTTCATGGGTATAGCTCGCTTGCTTTATCATTAGTTATTATTATTTTTATTTATCTATTTTTTGTAATCACCTCTTCCTTCCTTCCTTGCTTCCTT